TTCTCCATATCTTTAATCTCTCTCTCTCTACTGACTCTTTTCCTTCGGTCTTTAAACACGCTCTAGTTTCCTTAATTCTGAAAAAAAACTTCTCTTGACTCCTCTTCTCTGTCTAGCTATCATCAGATTTCTCTTCTTCCTTTTCTTTCCAAGGTTTTGTAACAGGTCGTTTATTTTTACTGTCTTGAGTTTCTTGAAGCCAACTCCATCCTTTATCCCTTTCAGTCCAGTTTCTGCCCATGGCATTCTACAGAGACAGCTCACAAAGATCTTGGATGATCTTTTGTGGGCCTATACTAATGGCCTTTACTCTGTTCTTGTTCTTCTCAATTTGTCTGCAGCATTTCACACCGTTGATCACTGTCTTTTAGTTGATGTATTTTCTGACCTTGGGTTCTCAGATTCTGTCCTTGGTTGGTTTAAATCTTATCTGTCAGACAGATCTTTTCCAGTGGTCCTCTGTTCCATTATCTGTTGCAGTTCCCCAGGGCTCTGTTTTGGGTCTCCTGCTGTTTTCTCTTTACACATTGTCTCTAGGAAAACTCATCAGTTCTTTTGGCTTCTTCTATCATCTGTACGCTGATGACACTCAGCTGTATCTCTCCACCCCTGACCTTTTTTCGGGTCTCAAACAGCAAGTTTCATCTTGTCTTACAGCTGTCTCTCAGTGGATGCGCCATCGGCACTTGAAGCTCAATATGTCCAAAACAGAGCTTCTTGTTTTTCCACCAAAGCCTACTGTTCAATGCTCTTTTTCTGTTTCTGTTGATATTTCTATTCGACCTGTCCTGCAGTCTTGGTTTTATTCTTGATTCATCTCTGTCATGTATCCCCCAGATTCAGGCACAGCCAAGGCATGTAAATTAATATTGCTAAAATTCAACCATTTCTCTCGACCTCTACTGCCAAGATTTTGATCCATGCCCTAGTGGTCTTGCGACTAGATTTTTGTAACCTTCTCCTAGCAGGGCTCCCTCTTTCTGACCTCCATCCTTTAATTTCAGTCCAGCATTCTGCTGCATGCATTATCACATCTGCTCACCATTTCGACCATATTTCTTCTTTAGTGTCATTCCTTCACTGGCTTCCCCTCCCTTTCCATATTCAGTATAAGCTTCTGTTATTAACTTTTAAAGCCCTGCATGGGTTGGCCCCTCCTTATTTATCAGAGCTTCTTTCTCCTTACTATCCCACCCATACCCTCCGTTCTGGTAGTCAAAATCTGCTGTTTCAGCCTAGGATTTTTACTGCTCCATCCCGGATTCATCCCTTTTCACTTACTGCCCCTCATTCCTGGAACCTCTTTCCCCCACGAGCATGGGGCATCACTTCTTTAACCAGCTTCAAAGCTGTTCAGAGAAGCATTCACAGGCATTGCATGATGATTATTTGATGTTTTTAATTTGTTGCCTTCTTTGTATTAATATGTTCTATTTTATTATTTTGTAAAATGTACACATCGGCAGGCTTTTTTATCTATTTTTATCAAAATTCTGCTAAATTGGCGCTCCTTTCAGAAGTCAGGGAAAGTGCGCCCTAAACGCGTAGGGTGCACTTTCCTTGACTTTTCTGCCTCAGCATGTGTGGATGCTGTGGCGGGAGGTTGCCCCCGGAGCGCCGGCTGTGCAGAGGGCCGGCAGCTCCGAGGGCAACCTCGGGAGGAGGAAGGGGCGCTGCTCGTGCGGCTGCCCCTCCTCTTCCCTGCCTCGGAGACGACTTAATTAGTCATCTGCCGAGGCCCATTGATATCTTATTTAGTTCTGGCACGCAGGGACACACCCCCCGGGGATAATTTGGCTGTTAGAACTTACCAAATGTGGATGATGGGTATACGTCATCAAGTTAACTAAACTCTCTATGATGTCATCAACCACATTGATTGCGTCATACCTTCCTTATGTCATACGTTTAATTATGACGTCATTTCTGGTATGGGGTGATGATTTGTTGAAATTGTGTAACTAATTTGAACAGGACGCTCTTGACACATGTTGTGATGGGCATGACTTAATCTTGATTGATACTGCAGTTAAGTACAAGGAAACATGTGTCAAGAACAAAATTATGGTCAATTGAGAAACTGTTATTGAAAGCTGTTTTAAGACCCTGTGCAGATAAATAAAGTTGTGGCCAATTTATTATCCAAGAAAAGGCGTGTGGAGTCTTTGGTGCCGGTGCAATTATAGCAACCCTAGTTGCAAAAATATTATGTACACTATTCTGGGACAGGACAGAAGGAGGCTAAATGGAGAGCTGCAGGAAACAAGCCGTGTCTGTCAGGCTGAAAGGCAAGAGACCAAGCATGGTTCCTCCAGCTTTGCCTTACCTTGGAACAGAGCAAATGGACCCTGTCCTTCCCTTGCTCCCTCCCCTCTTTGGGCACCAAAATACTTGCCATGCCCACCTTTTCCCAGAAACTGCTCAGCTTCCCCCTGCAAGGAACCAAAGGAGGAAAGCTTCTTTGGGTAAGAAAGACACCAACTGGTTGCAAGACAAAAGGGAAGGGAGGGGTAGGTACACACTCTTTTTTTTCCCTTTTGCCTTGGCTAGATAGCTTATGCCAGCTAGCCAGGGAAGAAGGGAAGGGATGGGGCAGGCTCTTCCTCTATTCCTCCTTGCATTTGATACTGTCAATGCTCTGATGACTCCTGGGATTTCCTGTTCCTCCCCCCTCCCTTTGCCAGGAAAAGCCTGGAGAAGGAGGGGGGCAGCAGCAAGGACATTTCTTGGCACCCTTCCATAGAGTGGTTTCCTTCTTTCACTTTCAGTTTCCCAAGCAACTCCCCAGCCTCACCTTTCTTCCCTCAAATACAGACTTATGGATCTCCAGGTTCCCTTTGGAACTTGGGCTTGCTAGCAACAATTGTTGTGTGCCTTCAGGTTGTTTTGACTCATGATGACCCTAAGGAGA